ATTATTCTATTTGTACAAAACCATACACAGGACAGCCGCCCCTCCAATAGAGGGCCGCCACTTGGCCATGTTGTCAACCACTTCGTTGTACAAATAGCATGGTCCTAACAAACTTCTTCAGAAAATGAAATTGTACAGATCAAATATCACTTATTTCCGGAAACTTGATGAAACTTTCAGGATGTCTTTTAGAGGGATAAGTAGTTCCATCTTTTACTGATAATCAAGAACTCCTTAGTGTTTAAATGTCTGAAAACAGACAAATATTTAGGCCATAGAAATAGTGAGAGAGAAAAAAAGGTCCGAATGAAATTGATAAAGATATATATTATGCTCATCCACCAAAAAAAAGAAAGATATATCGTTGCTAGCTTTGTGAGCTCAACTAAATGGATATAGTTATCATTTTCATGTATGTACGGTTTTATATCTCTAATTTTTGACATTTGAAAATATGTGGTACACAGAATGTAATAAGTGGTCGACTTTGACTTAGATTTTTCCCTTCATAGTAGGAAAAATAAAACAACCAAGGTTTTGGTAGACCTGTGCTGAAGATTCAGTACATGAATTTTTCCTCATCCATAACGTAGATAACTCATTTAATGTACATTGCACTTGCAACAAAGAAATGAAGCACTTTTTCCCCTTTTCTTAGGGCACTAAAAAGCACACAGGTACACATTACACCATCTTTAGTCTACGTATATAATATGACTCCAATTTTTTCTTTTAGGTGCCTGTAATAATATAAAAGCTCTCAAAATTTACAGATTATCCAAAACTTAGATTGTTTTATGACCAATATTTTACCTTTAATTCTTCATTAATAGTGTCTATTGTTACCAAGACCTCTCTATCAACTATTGTTTTCATTGTATCTTTCAATGTCACAAAAGAACGCTGCAGATACTTGAAATTATCATAGATATACAGATGTTATTGGGTGTAGTGGAGGATATGGCTTAATGGCCATCATTTTTATCTTTCTTTATTATTATTATTTTATAATCAGTAAGAGTTTTAATAAATTAGATCAGTTTTCAAAGTTTGCCATGGTGGGAGTTTTTCTTGCTTTCTTTATGAGCAAGATTAACGCTTCATATTTTTAGGTTGTTAATGAAGAAAAAAACCGAGTTCTTCACACTCCTGCCATTTATTCAGTATTCTTCGTAACATATTTTATGTTCAAGTTCTCGATATTTCAACAAAATCTTCCGTAAAATCACAACAAAAAAATGTAAAGAAGAACAGGAGCTAGTGAAATGTCTGGGCTAATAACAGAAAAAATAAAAATTCTGCATTATAAATTAGTATGGGGAAACAACGTCTACCTTCCAACACGAAATCGAAACAATAAACATCAATCAAATCAAAACTACAGCAAGTCAATCAAGCTAAAAACTGAAGAGCATGAAATCATAAAATCACCCTCCAAACAATGAATAGATTCCCTTTCATAATTTTAAAAAAAAAAAAATCTTGCAATGTTGTCTTTATTTTTACTTACATTTGAGAGAAGATGAGGAGCTCCGACTGGAATCTGAAGCTCGAAAGCCGAATGGCGATTGGGTGACTGCAACTGTAGGGTATCTGTATGACAGTGGCAAATGAAATCTGGAATTGAGACCAGATGGTGAAGGAGAAACAAATATATTTTTGGGGAAGCAAATGGGGATTGGCATAAATGTCCAGAGAAATTGGTGTGAGAACGTTAAGAAGATGAATGATTGGAGTTTGTATTGGTATCACATCCGTAGACTGTAGATCGACTTTGATGTTTTCAGTTCAACTTTAGGAGTGGACAACTCTTATGGAGTTAATTGTTGCAATGGTCACTAAAGTTATTAGGTACATATTTTTTATTGATCATTAAATTTTAAAATGTCGAATTTTGATCACTGAACTTTGAAAAATATCGAGTTTTGATCACTGAACTTAGGTCCATATTTTTGATTGATCACTGAAGTTTAAAATGTCGAGTTTTGATCACTGAACTTAGGTCAATGTCTTCAATTGAGTTTTGATCATTGAATTTAGGTCAATGTCTTCGATTGCTTACTAAACTTAGGTCTATATTTTAGATTGCTCACTGAAATTTAAAATATTGAGTTTTGGCACTGAACTTTGGAATATGTAATACGTTACTCACTAGCATAATTGTTGAACTTTAAAAAATATCAAGTTTACGGTGAATAATGTACAATATTTTTCAAAATTTAATGAGCAATGTTCAAGAATTTTTCAAAGTTCAGTGGTCAAAACTCGACATTTTAAATTTCATTGAGCAATCGAAAATATGGACCTAAATTCAATGACTAAAACTAGACATTTTTCAAAGTTCAGTGGCCAAAACTCGACATTTTAAATTTCAGTGGCCAATCAAAGACATGGACCCAAATTCAGTGACCATTGGAACAATTAACTCCTCTTAAGAAGTTGTTTGCCGTTGCTTCCTTAAATTTAGTTATCCCGGATAGCTTTTAAACGTGGTAGTTCCTATGATAGCTGACAAAGATTTTGCCTCCATTTGGTTCTGATTTTTCACCTTAAAAAATTAATTTTTTGATTGTTATCTAATATGGTCAGTTGTCATTTTTTCTTCTTCACTCACAGATGGGATCCACTTTTCTCTCTAACGGTCAAAAAATCAATTCTCATTATCATTATCGAAAAGGCCATTTATGTTCCAACATCATTATTACTTAAATTATGGATGAGATAATGAGTATCGGAATGGTCAATTATATTACTTAAAACATGAACGAGGTAATTCATACAAGAGCCGACAAAGATTTTAAGTTCCAATGTTTGTTGGATTTTTTGATACCCAATAAATTTCATACTATGATAATAAGGTAGGATAATGTATTTCA